TATTATTATTATTATTATCTTTTTCTTCTTTAGTCTTCTTCTTCAGAGTGTTCAAAGTCTTCATAGTTTTCTTCTTCTATATTTTCTTCTTCAGGTTCTTATTCTACAGTCTTTTCTTCTTCTTCTTCTTCTTCTTCGAAAGCAGATGTTTTGGTGTAATTTAACGATCGGTGATGGGTGGGTCATAGCAAATGGCGGTGGGCCCTGTCACCCCTTCACCTGTCTCCATCGACAAAAACCTTTCTCCGAATCCTGTCTGTCCCAAACAGGGTTCTGTTTTCTGAGGCGACACAGTTCGAATCAGAGTGCCACATTTAGGCAGCCATCTTTGGATTCTGTCCATACACAGTACCAAAGGAGCCCGCAACGACACGAACAAAATTATGATTCCTTAGATCTCCACCAGGGGGCGCTTATTTCAAATCTTGCCACCTTCTCCATTTCTTTCTCATCTATTCATGTATTAATTATTATTATTATTGTTATTATTATTATTATTGTTGTTGCTGTTGTTTTTGTTTTATTTCCTTTTGGTTTTTGGTGTATAAACATTTTTTCCGAGTCCCGACCAGAGACCTAAGGTCAGAAATGGCATCGTGATATTTTCCACTGAATATTTTTGAAAGAAAAAATGTCGCACATATTTTACATAAAGATCATTGTAAAGTGTGGGCTGTACTTGTGAGTACAATTTTTTTTGTATTTCTTTGAGGCATGGGTTACCTGGGATTCCTTTACTGAATCTTTTGGAATCTTTTTCAATCAATCTGAGGGCTCCGACTATCATTATTATTATTATTATTGTTGTTGTTGTTGTTATTATTATTATTATTATTAATAGTAGTAGTAGTAGTATTATTATCATCATCTAAATGCGTGTCTTAGTTGCTAACAGATATGGCCAATATACTAGGTCCTGTAAAAAGGTTTTTGGGTTGACCTAGTACCAAGACCGAACGTCACAAATCTTTTTGGAAACCCCCTTTTTGGTGGTAACAAGAAGTTTTCAAAACAAGAATATATTTTATATATAATATATATATATATATATATATATATATATATATATATATCCAAGTATTGGATGAGAACTGAGAACAAAAGGAGTATAATTAATTCCACTGTAGCATTTAATTTTTATAAAAATGGCTCAAAACAAAGTAGAGCTTCTATTATTTATTATATGAGATTAAAACAAAAACGTTAAAAAAATAGCGATTTTTAACGTTTTGGTTATAATCTCATGTAATAATTAATATATATTTTGTTTACACGCTAATTTTGTGGATATAAGTTATTGGAGTAAATGCTCTGGTTTAATTACACAGTATTAACTACATTTACCGGCCTGAATGTTCGAGAAATTGCGCAGAAAATATGCATCCTCCCACAGAAATCGAACCTGTATCCCTTACGGAAAGCGTCATATAGTCTGACGTGTTGTTAAGCATTCAACCACAGAGAACTTTCCAGGTACCCAAGTACAAATTAATGCTTAATGTAATTAAAACAAAGCATTTATTCAAATAAGTTGTATTCACAAAAAGAAAATATATTAAAATATTTGTCGGATTTAATCTAATATGTCGTCATTGTTTTGCGGAGTAGAAATGATATATCGAGAAAGATCGTCTAAGATGTGGGTTTATATGCAGTAATTTGGACTTGGTTTAACGGAATTTACTCTGTGGCTGAATTGTTAAACAGCGAGTCAGGCTGTATGACGTTTTCCGTATAATATACATCTTCGATTCCTGTCGGAGAACGCAGATATTCTGCGAAATTTCTCGAACATTCAGTCTGGTAAATATAATTAATACTGTTTAATCAAAACAGAGCATTTACTCAAATAATTTGTAGCCATAAAAATAATGTATAAAACAGAAAATATATTTTATATATTCCTCAGATTTAATCCATTTCATCTAATATGTTTTCATTGTTTACGTTAGGTTACGTTTCGTTGTTGTCGTTGTTTACGTTAGGTTACGTTTCGTTTAACAGCATGTTCATATGGGATACAGGTTCGATTCCTGTAGGAGAACGTATATTTTGTATGAAATTTCTCGAACATTAAAGATGGTAAATGTAATTAATACTGTTTAATTAAAACGGTGCTTTTGATATATTATACCCGACGTTATCATTTATTACTATAAACGTTATTTTACTGGGCACACGTGTTTCAGTTGCTATCTCTATTCTTTATATATCTTCTAGTTGTCTGAATATCTAGAGAGCGAGAGACTCGGGTTACAACAAGAGCCATCCTTTCATAGGATTTAACGTGATTAAATGTTTTTTTTTTTTTTTTTTGCTCGGTCTAGGCAATCTAAGATTCGGGCACTTTACTTGACTGAATTGGTAAGTTTGCTTTCAGGCCTTTCTTTCTCTTTCTTCAGTATTATCGTTTTTATTCGAGACTGTATCTGGATAAGAGTTTCAGGTTTTTGTCAAGTTGTCCGTTAGTTCCATCAACAGTTTTTGCTTTTCTTTAATATATATATATATATATATATATATATATATATATATATATATATAGAGAGAGAGAGAGAGAGAGATAAATAGATAGATAAAAATCCGTGGGTAATTAATCCAAGTAGAATCTAATAATATAAAATATTAAAACTGGCCTACAAAAGAGACCTCAATATATTTATTATAGAGCATATAAATGAATTAATAAAAATGAAACTCAACTGTACCCCATTTTGATGGCCATTTCGCCCCCAACCCGGGATAATCTCCCTGGAGCTTGACAATGCTAAAACGTTTGTAAAAAAAAAAAATGAAAAGAACATTCTTTTTTTTTGTCTTATCAAATGATGATGTTGAATGTAGAATAAAGGGTTTATTCGACATTGAACACCATCACTTGATAAGGCATCAGAATGTTGAAACAAAATGGCTATTTTTGTATTGATTTTATAACATATTTATGTTATGATTTTCGAATAAATGATTATATTTGCTCTACTCTGTATTGAGCACTCTTTTAAGAATAGTATTCGTTGGTTATTGGAATTTATTCCGTATACACCAATCCTATACTTGGGTATATATATATATATATATATATATATATATATATATATATATAAATATATATATCTTAAAATAGTCTTAAATATATTTATGGGATAAAGTGCTCAATATCAGAGATAGAGCGTGTGGCCTGACGATTGCATCTAGCATGAAACAGACTTTCGCCACTAAGTGTTGACTTCTAAGTTCACTTTTATATATATATATATATATATATATATATATATATATATATTCTTAAAAAGTAATATTAATAACAACTGATCTAGGTTGTTATTATTTTCATTATTTAAGACTATCAAAAAACAAACAAAAAAAAAAAAACAGGGTTAGGATAAAAAATCCTCCCTTCCCTCCCCGAAAATGTTCAATTCTTTTATTTCTTGTTGAGAAAGGACACGGGTGTATCCCAAAATTCCGAGTTTTAAAAGCTTTTTCTCATCTTCCTTCCATTGAGACAATAGGCCAATTAATATACCCGGTGTAACAGCAAAATTGTCCAAATCGTGTAACAGCAAAATTGTCCATTTGTCAGATTAAGTTGTATCTTAGAAATGATTAAAGATATCTTACTGGAATTCTCCGAGATTTTTATAACACTATTGGGTTCTATGTTGATCAGTAAGAATGTATAATTATTCACAAGCTTAACAGAAGAATCGTGATAAAATCGATCATAAACGAAAATGACATGTTCATCATTATATATATATATATATATATATATATATATATATGTGAAAAAAGACTTCAAATCAAATCGGACGTGAAACATGTGCGGTACCTTGTTAATCATTTTCCGATTAATTCAAAATGATCTTCGCCCTCTCTAACCTTCTAACTTTATGTCCTGGATTAACAAGGTGCCGCACACGTTTCACGTCCGATTTGATTTAAAAGTCTTTTTTCACTGCTCTTTTGACTGTCATAGCTGAAACTCCTCTCTCACACGCCAAACGGATTGAGTTGGAACTTTTCTAATTGATCTCTTTAGCTCTAAGTTGAAATGATGATTCCTCTTCATATTTTGACCTCCTGATCCAGTTTTCCTCTCTACTGTTCCCTCTCTTTAAAACGTATTCACCATTCTTTTGATGGTTCTTGAATGGACTTTGAAGATGGAAGCCAGAGTATGAATGTTGGTACAATTACTGAAGGACTGAATGATCTTTTTCCTCTAACCATTGCTCAGTTGGGAAGGTATAGTGGGACTGGCACAAAACAATCTTAACTTGTTCTTTTATTAGTTGAATGGCACAAAGGAATTTACAGTGGAAAAAAGAAACTCAATTCGTGTAGTGGCTTTTTAGATATTAAACATTTTGTGGGATGGACAATTATGCTGTTACACGATACTGACAATTTTGCTGTTACACGATTTGGACAATTTTGCTGTTACACGCGATACACTAAACATTATTAGTCTTATCATCAATATTATTAGATTTGTTTTTTAACCTCGCAAATTTCATTCACCGGCCTATTATATCTACACACGCACACACACTCACACAAACACACACATATATATATCATTTGTCTTATATAACTAATATTTTGTTCAAGCTATATGTATGTGTGTACATGTATGCATATGCATACGTATACATACATACATATATATACATACATACATATATATATATATACATACATATATATATATATATATATATATATATATATATATATATATGTATGTATATATATATATATATATATATATATATATAGCTGGTCATTCGTATTCGTGAATAGCCGTCTAGTCAATCACTATTGCAGACACTTGCTCAGGCGTATTTGTGTTTGTTCATATTGCAACTATGCTGAGTAGACCTTAGTTACGGGGAAAGAGCATGTAATCTAGAGTGATCAACAGTTTGAACAAGGCCAGCATGGTGATTCCCTCGGCCACGATGACTTGTGAAAAGGGTTCCGTCTACCCAATTTGC